TTAATAAACATTTATTTAAAAATGCATATAAGCTGGGGAGACAGCTCAGTCAGTGGTCTAAGCGCCTGCCTGGCAAGCATAAGGACCTGGGTTCGATCGCTGGTACCACATGGCCGTGCTGGCCAGGGTGCCGGCAAAATTGTAATCCCAGCATTGGGGGAGCTGAGACAAGATCGCATGCATCCAAACTGCATGGTGAGACCCGATACCAAATGAATGAATGAATGAATGAATGAATGAATGAATGAATGAATGAATTATTTTAGGACCAGCCAGATAGCTTAACGGACTAAAGCACCTGCTTTGCAGAGCACAGAGGCCAAGGTTGGAGCTCTGGTGTGCTGTGCTGGCCCCACTCCGCAGGGCACACTGAGACAGCAGTTGAGACTGGGTGTAGTGATGCGTGCCTGTAATCCCAGCGCTTGGGAGGCTAAACACAGGAGGATCACTATGAGTTCAGTCTACACAGTGAGAACCCTGTACACCTGGTAGACACTGTCCCAAATTCATTTTTAAAAAAATATACATATGAGACAGGGATTTCCTTTATTTGTCTGGATTCTTCCAGCGGCAGTGTCTTGTGGAGTTAGAGGCCAGATGTTCAGCTTGTTTTCAGTTGTCAGCCAGGAGGGGTGGCCAGGCTGGGGCCACTGTGCTACAGGCAGCGGTTGAGGTGCTTGGTTCTGGAGCTGCAAAGTGGCCTTCACGTTTGTCCAGACAGGCTGTGGCTCTGGGCTGTGGATTGGGGTTGCAGTGGCCAGGAGCCAGAGGGCCTGTATCGTGTGCCCCAACACCTGAGCTCTTGAGAGGATGCGCCTACCTTTGAGCACATGGGCTCCGTGGTGAGTGCTGGGTGGGTATGGTACCTGGGTCTCTTCCCAGTCCGTGAGACACCCATGACAAAAAGGAAAGAAAGGGTTTATTATCTTGGCTATGATATGAGACATTTGAGTCTATGTGGAGTTTTAAACAGACAGCAAAGCAAAGGGGCCCAGTGGTGAAGCCCTGCCCCTCCAGGCCATCCCCCTGGGGATGCAGACCCAAACAGGTGGTGTCAGGGCTGTGTGGCTCTGAGGCCCAGTGTGAGGTGTGCACCGCCCCAGTGGGGCTGACTCTGTCCCTGGGCCCATAGCCTCTCTGCCCATGGAAGCCGCACATGCCAGCATCAGGGCTGCCGGGCTGCCCAGGCCTCGTCTAGCTGCAGAGCCTCTGTTCCGGTGCCTCACTAGGTGATGTTTGCGGTCATTCCCCTCTCTGTGAGTTCTCCAGGAGCTTCCAGTGTGGAGTTGGGGCCTGGCTGCTGTCTCAGCCTACCCATGGGACCTGTCACTGGTGTCATCGTGCAGGGCCTGTGTGTCAGGTTCCTGCACACCCCCACAGCTGGAGCACGTGGCTCTGGGTCCAGACCTTTCCTTCCTTGTCTGAGATCCTGCCTCCTGATGGGTAGGGAGCCACTAGAGCCGTGCAGTGGCCTCGCCTCTCATGCTGAGCATGGGCTTTCGGGTTAGGTCACCTCTAGGCTGAGGAACTGATTTGTGCACCTGGAGAGCTGAGGTAGGGCCTGTGCTCAGGCAGCGTGGCCTGACTGGTCACCCTCAGTTACCGGTGTCACTAGGCACAGCCTCTTGAGGCTGCCCCCTTGGGAAAGCTCACAGGACTGAGCAGCCGAGCCCCGGCAGCTTCACACCGGCGCATGCACAGCTGTGCTTTGTTCTGAGTGGGGTATGGTGAAGAGCAGGCCAAGCCCAGAGGCTTCGAGCCCCAGCATTGGCTTCCCAGCGAGAGGGAAGTGGCCTCATCCTGCCCCAGCTGAGTAGCCACCATGGTAGCACGGAGCTGAGGCATGACAAGTGACCACCCCCTACCTGGGCCACACAGGCTATGAGGGGGCTGGGTGCTCTGGCTGTGGTGGGTGCTGGGCCACTGTGTCTCTGGTTGTTAGATGCCCGAGGTCCCTGCTGCAAGCTGTTCTCAGGCCCCGTGGTTCTGCCTGGCAGGGAGGAGAGCCCTCCTCGTGTTTGGCTCTTTAGGGTCTGGGAAGGAGCCGGCATGTCTGTGACTTGGTTTCCGTGGCTGGTGTCTGTGGAACTGGCCAGCATCCAGCTCAGCCTGGCCATCGACACGTGTCAGCTGGGAGGGCCTGTGATGTCTCCTGGTGCATTTGCGTGCTCGTCTCCGCAGGCCCATGACGCCAGCGCCTCCCTGTGCCCCTGGGTACTGGCTCGCCTCACACCTCGTGCCTGTGGCTGGAATGTCACTGCTCTGTGGCCTGGCTGTGCGTGCTCCAGCTCCCTGCTGCAGTCTCACCCTCCCTGTAGCTGCCAGGCCCCGTCTCCCACAGCAGGGGCCTTCTGTTTCCACCAGGGACACCTTGGTGCCCCAGCACATGGGCAGTGCTGGCTGCTAGATGGAGAGCTGTGCTGTGTGCCCGCTGAGTTGGGGGGGGAGCAGGGATGTGCTCGGAGGCACTGCCACCTCTGCTGATAGGGGCTTGCACCAGCCGACACCTGCCCTACTCACTGCGTCTGTCTGTGGGGTCTGAGAAGTCAGGCTGGGCCCCGGATGGCTTTTCTGGCCAGGAAGGCACAAGCAAGGACAGGGAGCCCCTGGCCCTGACCACCAGGGAGGGCCCACGCCACAACCATGGAGATGGGTTTCCTTGGGCATATGGCCTCTGGGGTCCCCAGGGTAGAGCTGGTGCCCACCCAGGCAGGTGGGCCAGTCTCTGCTGCTGAGCCCTTGCCTGGCTCCACTGCACAGGCTGCGTCCCAAGTCCCCGTGTTCGGGGAGCCGCGTCCTCAGCGGCCTGGGCTGGGAAAGCTGCTCAGTGCTGTGCTTTTCTGCCACAGAGCAGGTGGCGTTCTGGGCTTCCCTCGGGCTCCACTTCCTGGGCAGCAGTACCCAAGCTCCCTTGTTTCCGTGGACTCTGTCCTGCTAGGTCTGGTCCCACGGAGATGTGAGTCTGGTGGGGTCCTGGTATGGGCTGAGCATCCTGCAGGAGCCAGGCCAGCTTCCCATTTGAAGACTTCTGCTTGCCTGCCCGCCCCTGCTTCTTCGAAGTGTGACCTCATGGCCACATGCCTGGGCCACGGCCTGGTGCGGGATGCAGGTGGAGCTGGCTCTCCCTGTTCACCTAGCAGGAGGGAGTGGCCATCGCATGTGGTCTGCAGCAGCTGCAGGGCCCAAGGCTCCCGGGGTGGGGCCCTGTGCAGGTCCGTTTGGCTCTTGGGTCTGTCACACCACCCTGTGGACTCTGGGCTCTGGGCTGGCCTTGAGGCCTGAGAAAGATCAGAAGCTAGAGGCGAGAGGCCTTATCAGTCTGTAGTCAGCTCTGTTCTGGGACCCCGTAGCCGGGCTGTAGGTGGACACCCTTTCCCTGGCACGGACACCATGGTGACACTTGCCTGGGCCCCCGCGGGTGCCCTTCCCTGGGCCCCAGCTCGCTCAAGCAAGTCGTTGTGGAAGCCCAGAGGCTTGTGCTCCGTGAGGGCCCCTGCCCTAGCCCTGTTCTCCCTGTGTGCCCTGGGGCGCCGCCCCGAGTGAGTGCCCTGCAGCCACAGCGGCTCAGCGACAGCCTCTGGCAGCTGCCCTCAGAGTGTCTTGGGTCAGCATCAGATGGCGCTGGCTTTGTGGCTTTCCTCTTTCCTCTGGGTGAGGATGTGCTCACGCACTGCACCTGTTCCTTGCTCGCCGTCTGCACCTGCTCCTCAGTGAAGACAGGAAGCTCCACCCTGGTGGTGCAGCCCTGCTTGGGGGTGGTGGGGGGTTACCACAGCTCTGTAAGGCAGCTCTATGCCCCAGTCACTGTCCACCTACACCTGTGGCCTCAGGGTAGGGCCTCTGTGGGGTGGCTCTGAGACACCTCTGAACAGATTTTAGGGTTTTGAACAGAACCCTTCTTGGTTGGGCCTGGGCACTACCCTAAGCGGCCCAGGGCCGATAGGCGGCTGTGTTTGTGAGGACAGAGGCCAGTGAAACGCCCCTTCCTGTGGCTTCCCTGGCCCAGGCGCAAGTGCCAGGTTAGAAGGGTCCTGCGCGGCACCCCAGCCTCATGCTCCTGGCAGAAGCCCAGCATGCATACCTGCACCGACAGCCAGTCTTCACTGGGTCCAGCCTGGCCTTCTCTGCTGAGTTTCATTCTGACAGAGCTATTGGGGGACTCTGAACCAACACCACCACCCTCGCCAGTAGGGACCCCTGGCCATCATGGGGCAGGTTCTGTAGTTGTGCTTTCTGGGGAGCCTCCAGCCTCATTTACTGTCTGCCCTGGGCCACTCTGCTGCCAGCCTAGGCCCCTCTCAGGCTTCCCTGGGCCACATTACTGTCCTGTGCTGCAGGGGAGACCTGTCTCCACTCAGGCGGACAAACGGACTGGTTACCTGGCTAGGAGCTTTGGGGTTGGGATTGCTCTCCCAGGAGGGGTTGGACTTCACTCTGTCACCCTGTGGTTCTGCAGTCTGGCCTAGCACCAGGGGCGAGTTTAGGGTCCAGTGAGAGCTTCTCTGTTAGCAGGGACAGTGGTGACATCTGCAGCCTGACGTGTGTGGCACCAGAGCACTCAAAGCCACTTTCCTGGAGGCCTGATGGCCACTCTAGTGTCCCCTTGTCTCGGACACATACTTGTGCGTGGCTCATGGGTGGCCCTGTCGCCCCTGTAGCCTGAGGGGATCTTGTGCCCAGGTTTGGAGAAGATGGTGTAGACAGAGGCGGGGATGCACAGGCAGGTGGAGCTGCTGCACCCGCCTCGCCCAGATGCAGCTGCGGGTGAGATCACTCTGGAGCAGCCCACAGGGGCACAACAGTGTCCTCTGTGTCCTCAAGAGTGGCTGCCCCTTCCCGACAGCCCCAGGCCCACCTCCCTGCATGCTGCTGGCAGCTTGGCTTTCCTTGCAGTGAGCAGGGCTGTGTGTCCTCTGCCAGTGAGGTTATCCTGTTGGGCGGGCTGGCCGGGAGACCCTGCCCAGGCCCACAGGTACCAGCAGGGTCCTCTGTCCTCACAGGTCTCCTCTGAAGGCCCGGCCTCCATAAGACCCAAAGCAGATGATGCCTCTCCCCAGCCGCCTGTGTCTTCTGAGAAGGAGAAGCAGTCCAGCTGGCTCCGGACCTTGGCCAGCTCCTCCAATAAGGTGCTGCGAGGGGCCTGCCTGGTCCCAGGGAGCGGGGTGCCTGGCCTTCTGCTCAGGGCGGGGCACCCAGCTGGCCTTGGGGACCTAATCTGACTTCTTTCCCACAGAGCTTGGGCTGCGTTCACCCTCGCCAGCGTCTCTCTGCTTTCCGACCCTGGTCCCCTGCAGTTTCATCCAGTGAAAAGGAAATCTCCCCTCACCTCCCAGCCCTGATCCGAGACAGGTGAGTGACTGCTTTGGCAGTGGGGCCCTCAGACCTCCAGCACCTTGGCAGAATATGTTCCTGCCGCCATTGACTGGGCACCAGGGTGAACCATCTTGGGTTTTCTGGGACCTTTCATGAAGCTGTGGACTTCACAGAGCCCGTCCATGAGCATGGCTTGGTCATGGGGTCCACCTGGTGCTCACAGGTACACAACCATGGGAAATTTTTGTGGTTCTCAGCCAGTGCAAGCTGGCATTACGGGTCTAAGCTGGAGGAGAGTGTGTCTCCTACGTCACAGCGAGGGTCGGCCTTGGCAGGCAGGCTGCAGGTGGGGCCCAGGGGCAAGTGCACCCCAGCCCGACACCTGCGCCCCTACAGCTTCTACTCCTACAAGAGCTTTGAGACTGCGGGGGCCCCCAACGTGGCCCTTGCCCCGCCCGCCCAGCAGAAGGCTGTGCACAGCCCACCGTGCAGTACTGTGGTCTCCCGGGCCCCCGAGCCTCTCCCCACGTGTATCCAGCCCCGGAAGCGGAAGCTGACTGCAGACACCCCTGGAGCCCCGGAGATGCTGGTGGCGGTAGCTGCTGTCGAGGAGGACAAGGACTCAGAGGCGGAAGTCGAAGTAGAAAGCAGAGAGGAGTGTGAGTGGCTTGGGTCCTTCTGCGATCCCTGCAGGCTGGTGGGGCCGGGGCCCGGTCAGGGTCTGCACTGTGGCAGCCCTGCTCACTCCAGCCTCTGTTCACAGTCACGTCCTCCTTGTCTTCGCTGTCCTCGCCGTCCTTCACTTCGTCCAGCTCCGCCAAGGACCTGAGCTCCCCAGGTGTGCATGCCCCTCCTGTGGCTGCCCCAGATGCCACCTCGCACGCAGATGCCCCGAGTGGGCTGGAAGCAGAGCTGGAGCATCTGCGGCAGGCCCTAGAGGGGGGCCTGGACACCAGGGAAGCCAAGGAGAAGTTCTTGCACGAAGTGGTCAAGATGCGTGTGAAGCAGGAGGAAAAGCTGAGCGCTGCGCTGCAGGCCAAGCGCAGCCTCCACCAGGTGGGCTGGCCGGCCGTCCCTGGGCAGGCTTATGCCGCTCCGCCTGTGCCCTCTGCTACCCCAGCCTCGGAGCTGTGCACAGTGTGGGGAGCGGGCCTGCAGAGCCTGCTGCGCTGGGGCCGCCTGCCTGGCAGCTGAATTCACACTCAGCGTGTCTGGCAGCTCCAGGGCAGCCTCACACTTGTGGGCGTTTGCACAGCACAGCCCTGTTGGTTCCCCGGCTGCGGGATCTCACGCTCTCACTGTGTGCTCTCCCACCGTCACGCAGCTTGGGGTGGAGCTGTGATTTCCCGCTTGGTACAGTGGCGTCTACAGGGAGGGGTGTGACTCGCTCTGCTGCTCAGTGTGGCTGAGGAGGTGCTCCAGCTGGCGGGCGGCTAGGGGAGAACCTGGGCTGCCTGCACACAGTGGTGACCTGGAGGGTTCCTGGGCTGCTGACGGCACTGGGACAGTGCGGTGGGAGAGGCGGCCTGGGCAGCTTCAAGTGACCACCCGGCTGGCCGCTGTTCTTCTAGGAGCTGGAGTTTCTGCGCGTAGCCAAGAAGGAGAAGCTTCGGGAAGCCACAGAGGCCAAGCGCAGCCTGCGGAAGGAGATTGAGCGCCTCCGGGCCGAGAACGAAAAGAAGATGAAGGAGGCCAACGAGTCTCGCGTGCGCCTGAAGCGGGAGCTGGAGCAGGCGCGGCAGGTCCGGGTGTGCGACAAGGGCTGTGAGGCCGGCCGCCTGCGCGCCAAGTACTCCGCCCAGGTACACACAGGTGGGGGGCTGGCGGCTCCAGAGGCAGGGCCTCAGGCCGAGCTGGGATACCAAAGCAGGCTGGCTCGGGTCCCACTGCCCTACTGCAGTGGGGTTGGGGGGGCTGCAGATGGAAGGCCACGTGTCGAAGGCCAGGGGCCCTCAGAGCTCCCTCCCTGCTGCTCTGTGTGAGAAATGAGCTGGGGGGCGGGCAGCATGGGGCAGGTGGATGCTGCGTGTGGAGCACGTGCTTGGCTGTGCCACTGACTGGGGCCAGGGACACGGCACCTGCCCCGGCGGGTGATGGGGCAGCCTGGTCTCCTGTCGCCTGGGCCCGCCCTCCCTGGGCACTGGTGATGGAAGGGTACGGGGGTGGGAGCCAAGCAGGGTGCCGCTGACCCTCGCCATCCACCCTTCCAGATTGAGGATCTGCAAGTGAAGCTGCAGCACGCGGAGGCTGACCGTGAGCAGCTGCGGGCCGACCTGTTGCGGGAGCGTGAGGCGCGCGAGCACCTGGAGAAGGTGGTGAAGGAGCTGCAGGAGCAGCTGTGGCCACGGCCACGCCCTGAGAGCACGGGTGGTGGCGGCGGCGGCGGGGAGGGTGCCCCTGAGCTGGAGCCATAGCCCAAGCCACCAGTCGCTGGGCACAAGCACGCCAGGCGCGGAGAGCAGCGGGCAGGGTGAGGGCTTCTGCAGGCCTGGCCCGCGCCTCTGTGGCTACACAGCACAACGTCTCTACTGTGCCTATTACCAAGCGAGTGTTTGTAACTACACACTTTTGGAGTCCACTGCAAAGTTTTCTACTGGCCAAGTTCAAGCAAGCAGGCCTCACCCTCGGGCTGTGGCAGGGCCCAGGCCAGCCTGGCAGCTGGTGCCCGGCCTCTGCTTGCTGGGGCACTCTAGCATCTACACTTTTGTTATAAGCTATTTAAAACCAATAAGGAGACTTGGTATTCAGAAAACCCACACGTTTTTTATGACTAACTTTTAAGAACCCTGTCGCGTAACGCCATCTGGAGACCCACCGTGGGGAGGGCTGCCCTCCCCGCCCCGGAAGCCATCTTGCTCATCTGTGCCCGCGGCTGCAAGAGGACAGCAAGGATTTTTCTTCAGAGTCTATTTTTTCAGCGACAAGGACCTGGATCTCCCTGCTTGTGCTAGGAAGAGCAGGGAGAGTGCCGCGTGCGAGATGAGCTCAACACTGCCCGCCTTACGCCGCCGCCCCGTGCCCGTGCGCCGCCTCGCGGAGGCACAGCCACCAGGGGCCGGAGCCGCCGCTGCCCGGGGCTCTGCCGCGCC